TATAAGGAAAATAAACAGTATTAAAGAAACACAGGGTAATAAGAGTAGCAACAACTACAATAGAGAAAAATAATCACAGAAGGAATACAGCTCAACACAGAGATGACAACCGGAGATCTCCCAGGATACCGTCCTGTAGTCCCAAATACAAATGTCAAGTGGATTTCCCGGGTGTTGTCCCGTAGTCCAACTCATAATACGCAGGGGATCTCCCAGAATACCACATCATTAGTCCCAAATGTAAATACTCAGTAGTGGGGGAATCTATCAAGTGCAGTCCCGTAGTTCCAATATAAAAGTGCAGAGGGATCTCCCGGAATACCACATCCGTAGTCCCAAATAAAACAAGCAAGGGGGATCTCCCGGGATATCGCCCGTAGTCCCAAAATAAACACACAGCAGCAACACGAAAAATATTCAATTCAATCAAATTTATACCAAGGTAAAATAGGTATTTCTAGCCTAGCATGCTGCACAGAATTCAAATAAGGCAGTTTCAGCGAGTAAAGCAATTGAATCAGTTAGACATACTTTTCTAAGCTAACAGTAGGCTTAAATTTCAAGTAGTGTAAACAGGGAAGAAAATACACAGCAATAGTTACTTAATGAAAACTGGATTTTCAACAATTAGCACATGTACGCACTCGTCACCTCATGTACAAGGTATTTCATATATCAACAATACCAAATCCTAAGGGGAGTTCCCCCCTCCCCCCCACAAGGTTAGGCAAGCCACTTACTTCAAACCAGCTCAATCAAGTCAATACCACGTTCCTGCCACAAGTATCCGACTCCAAATGGCCCAAATCTATTCAAAGTAATTGCATAATGTAAATATGACTTCAAGTAACTAATTCAACTAATTAATTCGAAGTTAATACGCAAAATTAGGAAAATCGCCCAAAAAGCCTCCCGTGCCCACGCCTCGGAATCGGGTAAAATCGCCCAAAAAGCCTCCCGTGCCCACGCCTCGGAAGAGTCAGGCCAGAAGCAGCAGGTACACATAGTTGATGCAACTAATGGGGGTCTATGCACATCATGCATTAATCAGCCATATGTCTGCTCATGGAGTGCTGAAGGTGAGAATCAACAATATCAGGAGAACATGAATTATATGGGCAACTACGGGGGAGCGAGACCAGGTGGTCAGAATTGGGGTCAGCAAAATCAACAATACAGACTAGCTCAGCAGCAGTACAATAACAACAATAATCATGGGGCTATGCGACCACAGGGGAAAATGGTGCCTTACCAAAGGCAATAGGGTACAACCAGCAAAATCAGTAGCAGGCTTATCAACAACCTCCACAACAACCGATTGTGAGACATGAAGATGGGTTTGCTAAACTCGAGGGTATGATGCAACAAGTGATTGGGTCCACTGGAAAGCTAGCTGACAGAGTAGACTCACATGAGTCAGCGATTAAAAATATTGAGATCCAGTTAGGACAGATTTCCATGGCCCTAAATAATCATCCTCATGGGATGTTACCTGCAGACACCCAAATCAATCCAAAAGAGTAGGGCCCGAGCAGCTGATGGCAGTGAGTCTCCGAAATGGTAGGGACTTAGATCTACAGCAAGAAATTGCTCGCGAAAGCAGGCCAACTAAGACACCGGTGCCAGTACCCATTGAGATAGATAGTTCAGCAGGTTTAACTGAGGTGACGGTACAGAATGCGCAAGAAAACACCAACAAGGAATGTGGTTGAGAAAGAGATTAAAGTTGCACCGGAATCGATAGTAGAAGCAGTGTGCGAACAAGAGAAAAACCAAATTACAGGGAAGAAGCGACCTCCAAGACCATTCCCACAGGGATTGGCTAAGTATAAAAAAGATGAGCAGTACAAGAAATTCTTGGAGATGTTGAAGCAGATTCAGGTAAACATTCCATTGATCGATGCTTTAAAGGAAATGCCTGGGTATGCAAAGATGATGAAGGACTTGATTTCCCGCAAGTTCGACTTTCAAGACTTGGCCACGGTTACACTGACTCAGACTTGCAGTGTTGTTGTAACGAGACCCGTAGCTGAGAAGCTGTCTGACCCAGGGAGTTTCACAATCCCTTGCACAATAAGCAACTTTGCATTTGCTAAGGCACTGTGTGATCTGGGAGCAAGCATAAACCTTATGCCTCTAGCTACCTACAAAAGGCTAGGCATTGGAAGATCTAGACCCGCGTCTATGCTACTACAGCTGGTTGACCGAACTGTGAAAAGGCCCTCCGAGAATCTAGATTATGTATTGGTGCAGGTTGGGAAGTTTGTGTTTTCAGTAGATTTTGTCATCCTTGACTGTCGGGTTGACGAGAAAATTCCCATAATTTTGGGAAGACCATTCTTGGCCACTAGGAGAGCTCTAATTGATTGTGAAACGGGAGATCTTAAAATGAGATTAAACGATGAAGAGATAACATTCAACGTGCAGAAATCTATGTGCAGACCCAGTGAATTTGCCAATTGCTCTCTAATAGATGCGGTGGATGTAGTGTTGGAGGAGGACGATGCAGCATTGAACCTTAAAGACCCTCTAGCAACTTGTCTCGTGAATTTAGACGAAGCTAATGGTGAAGACTTGGCAGAGTGGGTACTTGCTCTTGAAGGCCAAGGTTTTTGGAAAAGGGAGCTGGAGTTTGAGCCTTTGCACTTGGAGGAAAGAAAAACTCCTCCAGCTAAGCCGTCAATAGAAGAGCCACCAAAGCTGGAATTGAAGCCATTGCCATCTCATCTCAGGTATGCATTCTTAGGACCTAACTCAACTCTACATGTTATTATCTCATCCAGTTTGTTAGATAGGCAGGCAGAACAGCTTTTGCAGGTACTAACTGAGTGCAAGACTGCAATTGGGTGGACAATTGCAAACATTAAGGGGATCAGCCCGGTCTTCTGTATGCATAAGATTCTGCTGGAAGATGGGCACAAACCTTCCAGAGAACATCAAAGAAGGCTGAACCCCAACATGAAAGAAGTGGTGAAAAAGGAAGTTATTAAATGGTTAGATGTGGGAATCATATTCCCCATCTCTGACAGCAACTGGGTTAGCCCAATGCAGTGTGTATCGAAAAAGGAGGGATGACGGTAGTGAAAACTAGAAGANAGAAGCTGTCTCACGCTGGGAGTTTCACAACCCCTTGCACAATAGGCAACTTTGCATTTGCTAAGGCACTGTGTGATCTGGGAGCAAGCATAAACCTTATGCCCCTACCTATCTACAAAAGGCTAGGCATTGGAAGAGCTAGACCCACGTCTATGTTACTACAGCTGGCTGATCGAACAGTGAAGAGGCCTTCTGGGATTCTAGATGATGTATTGGTACAGGTTGGGAAGTTTGTGTTCCCAGCAGATTTTGTCATCCTTGACTGTCGGGTTGACGAGGAAATTCCCATAATTTTGGGAAGGCCATTCTTGGCCACTGGGAGAGCCTTAATTGATTGTGAAACTGGAGAGCTCAAGATGAGATTAAACGATGAAGAGATAACATTCAACATGCAGAAATCTATGCGGAGACCAACTGTATTTGCTAATTGCTCTCTAATAGATGTGGTGGATGTAGTCTTGGAGGAGGAAGATGAAGCTTTGAACATTAAAGACCCTCTAGCAGCTTGTCTCATGAACTTAGATGAAGCTAATGGTGAAGACTTGGCAGAGTGAGTACTTGCTCTGGAAGGCCAAGGTTTTTGGAAAAGGGAGCTTAAATTTGAGCCTTTGCACTTAGAGGAAATAAAAACTCCTCCAGCTAAGCCATCAATAGAAGAGCCACCAAAGTTGGAACTGAAGCCACTGCAATCCCATCTCAGGTATGCATTCTTAGGACCTGAATCAACTTTACCTGTTATTATCTCAGCTAGTTTGTTAGATGTGCTGGCAGAACAACTTTTGCAGGTATTGACTGAGTGCAAGACTGCAATTGGGTGGACCATTGCAGACATTAAGGGGATCAACCCGGCCTTCTGTATGCATAAGATTCTGCTGGAAGATGGGCACAAACCTTCCAGAGAACATCAAAGAAGGCTGAACCCCAACATGAAAGAAGTGGTGAAAAAGGAAGTTATTAAATGGTTAGATGTGGGAATCATATTCCCCATCTCTGACAGCAACTGGGTTAGCCCAATGCAGTGTGTATCGAAAAAGGGAGGGATGACGGTAGTGAAAAATAAGAAGAATGAGCTGATCTCTACACGAACAGTCACAGGATGGCGAATCTGTATGGACTATAGGAAGTTGAACTTGGCCACCACGAGAGACCACTTCCCACTGCCATTCATTGATCAGATGCTAGATAGATTGGCAGGGAAGTCTCACTTTTGCTTCCTGGATGGGTACTCGGGGTATAATCAGATTTCCATTGCGCCAGAGGATAGAGAGAAAACGTCGTTCACCTGCCCTTATGGAATCTATGTTTTTCGGTGAATGTCATTTGGCCTATGCAATGCACCCGCCACATTCCAGAGGTGCATGATGGCCATCTTCACAGATATGGTAGAGGAGATAATGGAGGTTTTCATGGATGACTTCTCAGTGGTGGGGAATTAATTCGATGATTGCTTTGTGAACTTGTGGCGAGTTTTGAAAGGGTGTATAGAGACTACTCTGCTACTAAATTGGAAAAAGTGCCATTTCATGGTACAGGAAGGTATAGTCTTGGGGCACCTAGTGTCAAGTAATGGTATTGAGGTGGATCGAGCAAAAGTTGATGTGATAGAAAAGCTTCCACCACCCACCTCAGTCAAAGCAATCCAAAGTTTTCTTGGGCACGCCGGTTTCTATAGGAGATTTATAAAAGACTTTTCCAAAATTGCTAACCCCTTGTGTAAGTTGCTTGAAAAAGATCACCCTTTTGTGTTTTGTGATGACTGCAGGGTAGCTTTTGAGGAATTAAAGAAGAGACTGGTGACAGCACCTATCACAGTTTCCCCCAACTGGGAGCAACCATTTGAGCTGATGTGTGATACTAGTGACTACGCTGTGGGAGCAGTGCTTGGGCAATGAAAAGATAAAATCATGCATCCAATATACTACGCAAGTAGGACGTTGAGTGGAGCCCAACTAAATTACACTGTGACCGAAAAGGAGATGCTGACAGTGGTATTCGCAATTGACAAGTTCAGGTCTTACCTGATAGGCTCAAAGGTAATTGTTTATACTGACCATGCTGCTCTCAGGTGCTTAATTTAAAAGAAAGAGTCAAGACCACGCCTGATTCGACGAGTGCTACTGCTGCAAGAATTTGATTTGGAGATCCATGACCGAAAGGGAACGGAGAACCAAGTAGTTGACCATTTATCCAGGCTGGAAGGAGCTGAAAAGAAGATTGAGGTAGAAGAGATTCTGGAAACCTTTCCAGATGAGCAACTACTAACAATGAGTCTCGAGGAAGCGCCATGGTATGCAGACATTGCAAACTACCTGGCGAGCGGTATTGTTTCTTATGACCTTTCTTCTGTTCAAAAGAAAAAGTTCTTTCGTGATTGTCGTATGTATTATTGGGATGAGCCTTATCTGTTCAAGATTTGTGTTGATAACATGATCTGGAGATGTATCCCCGAGATAGACCAGTCTTCTATTTTGCAGGCTTGTCATGCATCACCATGTGGTGGGCACTTCGGGGGAGTGAGGACAGCTACGAAAGTCTTGGAGTCAGGGTTCTATTGGCCAACACTATTCAAAGATGCACATCTATGGATAAAGGGCTGTGATGAATGCCAAGGAACGGGGAACATTTCCCGTAGACATGAGATGCCCATGAACCCAATTCAGGAAGTAGAAGTGTTTGATGTATCGGGGATCGACTTCATGGGGTCGTTCATCAGCTCATATGGCAACAAGTACATACTCGTCGCTGTGGACTACGTGTCCAAATGGGTGGAAGCTGCAGCACTCCTACAAATGATGCAAAGGGGGTAATTGGTTTTCTGAGGAAGAACATTTTCACCCGATTTGGCACCCCAAGGGCAATAATTAGTGACGGAGGCACTTACTTTTGCAATTGAGCCTTTACTAAGTTGTTGGAGAAGTATGATGTATGCCACAAGGTGGACACCCCATATCATCCACAAACAAGCGGGCAAGTGGAAGTCTCAAATAGAGAAATAAAGAATGCGCTGACAAAAACTATGAATGCAACTAGAACAGATTGGGCAAGGAAGTTAGACGATGCACTGTGGGCATATCGAACCGCTTTCAAAACTCCAATTGGCATATCGCCATACAAATTGGTGTTTAGGAAGGCGTGTCATTTACCTGTAGAGTTGGAACATAGACCTTGGTGGGCATTGAGACAGTTAAATCTCGATAGTGAAGCAGCCAGAACAAGCAAAGTAACAGAATTGCATGAGCTGGATAAGTTCAGATATCACGCTTTTGAGAGCACAAGATTATACAAGGAGAGAATGAAGATGATACATTGCAGGAATATTCTTGAGCGGAATTTTAAACCTGGAGATACGGTATTGCTATACAACTCGTGTCTGAGGTTGTTTCCTGGAAAATTGAAATCATGATGGTCAGACCCTTTTTGTGCGGTTGAAGTTCACCCCACAGGAGCAGTAGAGATTGCTGCGAGTAATGACTCTCGCACATTTAGAGTCAATGGGCATAGACTGAAACATTATGTGGGCATGGAGGAAGCAAAGAAAGTGTCAGTGACCCATTTGATCGAGCCTCCAAAGTTGAGCGTACCTTAAATGCGCTTATCTGCGTCGTGCCGCGACGTTAAATCAGGCGCTGCGTGGGAGGCAACCCATGTTTTCTTTTGTTTCTCTTTTTTGTTTTGATATTGTACTTGATGTGTATGATACCAACCCTTTTATTAGTGTAGGGCAAGATTGGTGCATATTGGGAGAAGTCGGGGTCAAGAACCAACTCCGAAAAGGTAAAAAAATGAGGAAAACAAAAAAAAAATCGGAAGCCCGTGACCGCGACCGCGGTGGGACCGCGGCCCGGGCGCGCCAGATAAGGTACATTCCGTTTTCGGCCACCGCAACCGCGGTCGGGACGCGGACCGGGCGCGGTGGGTTACGAGTCCACTGTTCTCTTTTTCTTTTTCACCGCGACCGCGGTCGGGACGCGGACTGGGCGCGGTGAATCACGACCATTCTGCCCTGACCAGGTAAGTTGTAATTAATTTTTTTATTTTTTTATTTTCTTTTTTTTCTTTTTCTCTTCTAAACCCATTAAAACTAAACCTACTCCCTACCCCCCCCCCCCACTTCNCCCACTCCCCTTCTTACTCTAACTCTCTAACCCCCACACTTCTTCTTCTTCTTCTTCTTCTTCTTCTTCCTATCTCTCACAAACCCCTTTCTCTCTCACACAGACACCCAGTTCTGACTCCCCTCCTCCCCAACCTCCATTACACTCTAACTCTACAAGTCTCAGGTATGTCATGATTTCGTTCTCTCTTCTTCTCCCCTTCTCTTTTGTAATTTTAATGTTAGATTTGTTGTAGTATCTGTAGTAAAAAAATTTGGTTTCCTTTTCTTCTTTTTAGTGGGTAATGTGTAGAATATAGTAGAGAAAAGCATGGTGTTGTTGTGTGAAGTTGATTACGGTGGGGTGGAGTTTGTGTAGTGATTGTGGTTGATTTGGGGGGAGAGTTTGTACTTCCATGGGATAAGTGTGTTAAATCATAGTTCCATGCACACTAGGTGCTTGTGAAATTGCCCAATTGGACTGTAATGGCTAGTGTGACCATGGTGGTGGTGAAGTCTGAGTAACCACCCAGGCATCACACAACTCAGACCCTCACTAATAGTAGCCCTTGTTTTGTCAGGTACAATGCATCAATCAAGGAAAAGATGTTCCACAGGTTCCTCCGCTAGTGGGCCAGGAGGTTCATCCAGAGCTCGAGCTCAGGCTAGTTCGAGCCAGTTTGACAGCACCCAATTTGTCTCCAAAGCTGCTCAAGATAGGTTTAATGCAAAGACATCCAAGAAATCGGTGCCTGAAGTACACATTGACAGGCATGCCTTGCGAGTTGAATGCCCAAGTATCTACGAAGAATTGAAGAGACGTCAGTTGGACATCTTCTTTAATTGCCGGAAGAGGGCAATGTAATGATGGTAAGGGAATTCTATGCTAATTGCCCGGACCACGTTGATAGGGTTGTCACGGTATGAAATACCCCAGTGAATGCATCTCTTGAGACCATCCGCCGAGTGTACAGGTTGCCGGTCTTTACTGGAGAGACGGATTATTACCAAGATTATCAGAGCCCACCTGTCATGTGGAACCTAATTGTTCAAACAATCTGTGTGGCTGGACGGGATCCAATATGGATAAAGCCGAGAATGACCCTGAACTCTCAATCTCTCACTTGGGAAGCTAAGTGTTGGCTAACGATCATCAACAGCCGTTTGCTGCCATCTAGCACCACTACAGATGTTAATGCGCTAAGAGCAGCGGCGATTTGGTGTTTCGTAAACCACCACGATTTTGACGTGGCCCGGATCATTCAGGATAAAATTTTCATTCGCTCTACAAAGACGAGCAAAGGGTTCTATTTCCCTTCCCTGGTCACCAAATTGTGTCGTGCTACACGAGTTCCCGAAAATCCCATAGTAGATGGGAAGTTGCTATTAAAAGCCCCATTCAGGGCTAGCAAAATCACAGTTGGGAAAGAGCAGGCTGTGGCGGATGATGAGGATAATGATGATGCCGATGATGACGATGATGAGGGAGCTATGCATGCTTCCACCCCACCGGTGCAGATTGCTGATGAGGCGGGCCCATCACAGGCCCGCCGGAGTACCCGGATAACAGCTTGGAGCAGGATATGGCTGGCCTACGCACTTTGGTCAATGACCTGAGTGCTAGAGTTGACACTTTGGCTACTCAAAGTGCTAGGTCAGAGAAAAAGATCATGGGCTGGCTCCGAGCACTAGGACTAGCGTGTCACCTCGATCCTGGCACCGTATCCGATCAGGACTGAGCACCAGGGAAGTCCCCTTACCTTACTCTGCTTTAATTTCTTTGACATGGGGACATGCCAAATCTTTAAGTGTGGGGTGGGGGATGGTTGTTGTTGTTTTACAATTGTATAGATTTGTTTGGTATTTTTGGTTGCTATTAATTACCTTCGACTTGGCCCGAAGATGGACACCTCTTGACGGGTCTCTTGAGGGACTTAAGTCGAACAAAAAAAAATATTTTCTTCTGTTAGGTAGTGTATCAACTCCCCCTTGGTTTTTCTTTAAACCACAGTTCTTTTCCAAGGATTTTCATTTGAACCGGGTGTAGTTAGTTTTTTTTTCCTTTTTTTTTTAGTATAGGAATTTTTGTGCGAGGAAAGAATAGGAATAGGATCCCTTAATTCCATGGTACCTTGAATAGAGATTGCTTTAGTGTGACACCTAGGCTCATTAGTTGACTCTAGCAATAAAGGCTTAAATTGTGTGTTCTTGAGTTGGCTTAAGAACCTTGAGCAGAGTGTCTGATGGTCCTAACTGAATTGAGTCATGTGCCATGTGTGAGTGAGGCTTTGTGTGTTCTATGCTAACACTCAAATGCCTATAACTTGCCCTGTGTGTGTACAAAGCGAAATGGTAGTCTTAATTGGTCTGGAAAGTGATATAGGCGTTTCCTTGTTGAACCTATCTATATATGTTTTCACCCACCTGATTGTATATATCCTAGTTAACCCCTTTGAGCCTGTAATCCTGTTTCTTTGGAAACCACATTACAAGCCTTACCCAAGTTGTGAATTGTCTATCTTTTTGAACCCTATCACCTCTTAGAAGCACTTGAATTGTAATGAATATGGAAAATTTAAAGTGAGGGGTGGTTGGTTGGGCTTTTGAGTGGAACTAAGAAGACATGGAAAAAAAAGGTGCACTGTGTGATAAGCAATATTAGAAGCCACCAGAATCTCAAAAAAAAAAGACTGAGATGAATAATTTTTAAAAGAATAAGTCTCAAAATGGTGGTGGATTTTAAAAGAGAAAGTGAGCTTAAAGAAGTAGGGGGTTTAACTCAATGATGTGAAGGTGGAATGAAGGTTTGACAAAGGTATGGGTTTAAAAGTGACAAATGTATTGAAGTGCTTAGGGAGGTGTAGTCGCTATACCCATATGTATCCAACCTGTCCCGCAGGCAACATTACAACCAAATAAAGTCCTACTGGATTCTAGACCAAATGAGCTCGATTAGTCGAGTATTACACTACGGGCAAGCCTATGGTGCATTGTTTGTGGCATAAGAATTTATTTCTGAGGGTGAGTGAAATCTTACGTATTTGAATTCCTCTGTGTGTGAATTACAATGACCATGACACAAGTCTCTTTTGTGGTGAGTAGGCACGTGATTCATGAAGGGAAGGTAAATCTGGACCTCTGACTGAGAGTATGAAAGCCGGTTAGGGACATTACGTGGCTAGGGAGAGAGTCCACTCTTAAGGTTAGGATGTTACGCTAAGGTAGTCTACCTATGTGAATTATTCTTGGTATAAGGAGTAGGGAAGTGACCCAGTGATGATTAGGCCTATAGATTGTGGTTTGTTGCTAGAGGACTAGCAACGGTTTAAGTGTGGGGTGTTGATAGTAGCCTATATTATGCGATGTAGATGCTATTTATGCTCTAAGTTAACCATACTTTATTGATGTTTTAAGTTCTAAATGACAACAAACAAAATGCTCTAATTGAGGTTTTTATGCTTTGCAGGAGCTACTCCGAGTTAGGAGAAGGATATAGAGTGTTTTGGGGTCAAATATGTAGATACAAGGCCAATCGAGAAGAGCCCGGATGAAAACGAGCAAGAAAAGGCAAAGAAAAAATGGGCAACAGCCCATCGCGACCGCGGTAGGGCCGCGGCTGGAACGCGATGGAAAAAGGTGCAAAAACAGAATTGTCTAAAACGACTGCGGTTGGCCCGCGACCGCGGTCGATCTGGAGAATGCCAAGAAAGTCCAGGGACCAAAGTGTAAAACGTGAGAAACTTATCCTAACCCTATATAAACTCAACAAACTCGCTCAAGTTAAAGAAAGCTTGTTTTTAGACTCAATTGGAGGCAAGAACAAGTGTGAGAAGATCAAGACACCATTAGAGTTTTTCATTCTTCTTCCTTTTATCATTATTTTGTGAATTATGAATTATTTTATGGCTTTATCTTATTTTACCATGAGTAGCTAAACATTTAATCTAGGATTTTGATAGAACCTCTTGGAGGATGAATTTCTGATATGTTAATATAGATTTGCCTTAATAATTTCTCTGTTTGTTCAACTATATTGTGATTGTTGTTGATTGAAGGGCCTTCAATCGGCTGTGCCTATTTAGTATGCATTACTCGGGGGAGAGTGTATATTTAGGTAGTTGTTGAACAACACCACTCCTAACGTATATGAGGGATCAATATGAAGGGTTTAAAGGTGGGATTAGGGATAACGAAACCTTGGGTGCGATCTAAGTGAGTTGTAACTAAGGCCAGCTAGCGTAATTCGGGAGAATATGTCTAGTATATTGTTGTAATTACTCGGGAGAGAGTTACGACAATCAGAGTGCTCA